TATTCCACATTAATGGCGACAGCGGTAACACAGCTAAAAAAAAAAGAAATCAAATATAAACGTTTGATTACTGATGAAGTTGTTGATCATACCATATGGTTGATGAGGATTGAACATTGGATGAAACATTTGTGGCATTGTTGGATTAACAATCCAACCACCGAGTGTATTGACAAATGTTGGTGATGATTGTCCGTAGGATAATGGAATTGATGGTGAACATAATTGTACATTGGTTGATGATGAAGGTGGTGAACAATTATTATCTGGAAAATTTTGTCTTATGAAAAACTAAAGTTGTTTAGATAAAAACAAACTCGGACGAAAAGATTTGTAATCGTTGAAATCACCTTCATTGGAACCCAGAATATCTTCACGTTTTAATGCTCGTTTACATTCGATCTTAAGAAAAGATTTTCATTTGAAATTCAACTCATTGAAATATTCAAAAAGAACCTTTCTTCCATGAAGATTAAAAATTCGTGTCGAACAAACATTTTTCGTTGTTGACATATCAGCAAATGTAACAAAACCAAATCCTACATTTGTGATCAAACAAGTCCTTTTAACAAAAAAATCTTTTCTTTACCTCGATGTCGACCACTAAATCGATCGTAAATAATGAAAGCTTCTTCAACCTAACGAAGACATTTCAATTTGAGAAACAAATCTCTTTTAAAGATTTACCTGACCATAATTTTGAAAAAACTGTGCTAATTCTTCAGGTCCAACGGTTGATGGAACACCACCAACAAAAATTTTTCTTTCCTGTCGATATGACTACAAAAAGCAAAAGGGAATTGTCGAAAAATACAAGAAAAGTTTTTTGGAATGTCTTACTGAATCGACTCCACTATCTTCTGAATCACTACTTGTACTTGTTAATCGTCGAATTGGTGTTGATTGTTGAAGAAGAGATGGAGGAAGAAAATGAGCCAGAATTATTGAATTATTACTCATGGTTTGTTCTTTATCTTTCTCGACAAAATTTAATCTCTCACAATATCACAGAAATTAATTGTTTGATTTCATATTGGAATGAATTTCTTCGAGGGAAAAATCAAGACTCTATTATGACTCATCAGTTTTCACTTAATTCGTTAAAAACAAAAACTTTTTTCGAAAATGAGAAATTTTTCACGGAAATCTTTGGATTTTTCTTTAATTTTGCGATGACAAATATCGAGTGCATTAATGTGTTAAATGATGTCCGATGATCTCGTTTGTGATTAGTTGTTGAATTTTCCACCAATAGAAATCAAGTAAATAATCAATATAGGTTAGGTTTGGATGATGTCGTCGTCGTCGTAGGAGAAAAATACACTTTGTTTTCTTTCTCGAAACGAACTACAAAGCTCAGTTTTAAACAAGGTTTTTATGAAAATATTTTAGATTTTCATCCATTAGGTTTTTATAGAGAAGAATTCTTTAAACGAATAAACAAAAATAAAAATGTCGTTCGTTGTTAAAGCCAGTGGAATTTTACAACAACCAGGAACGGTTGCTCTTCTCTGGTAAAATAAACTTTGTCGTTTCTGCCTAATTTCACCTCAATGAACTTGTTTTTAGGAATGTGACACCAGTCCGAAACATGGCCACACTCAAAGACAGTAAGATTTTCTCTTTGGAATTTATGGAAAAATTTCTTTGTATATTTTTAGTCAGCCGTCGTTTAAAATCGGTTAAAAGCATTCAAAAAATCACCAAATCAATGAAGATGGTTTCTGCAGCAAAATATGCCAAAGCTGAAAGAGAATTACGTGCTGCCCGTGCTTACGGATTAAGTGCTAAAGGTTCGATTCCATCCTTATCTTCCAAAATCTTCTATTAAAACATTTGTCTTTATAGGCTTTTACGACAATTTAGAAGTAGAAAAAGTTGAAGGTCCACAAAAACATTTATTCATTGCCGCAACATCTGATCGTGGTCTTTGTGGTGCAGCTAATTCGTCAATTGTGAAAAACATTCGTACACAATTAAATGATGGCAAACAGGATTTAGAAGGAACTAAAATCGTTGCTATTGGAGATAAATCCCGTACTGGTCTCGCTCGGACACATGCATCGAATTTACTCTTATCAGTTAACGAAGTTGGCAAACGTTCACTTGTTTTTGGTGATGCATCAGCCATTGCCCAACAATTAATCAATTCAGGTTTTGAATACGATTCAGCTGATATTGTTTATAACAAATTCAAGTAAATTTCGCAACTAATTATGATTGAAAAGACTTTCTTGTTGAATATTTAGATCAGCTATTGCTTATACAACATCTCGACAAAAGGTTCTATCCGGTGATGCTATAGCTCGTTCAAAATCCATTCAAGTTTATGATTCAACTGATGCTGATGTTCTCCGTTCATTTCAAGAATTTAATTTAGCTTCTGTGCTCTATTATGCAATGAAAGAAAATGCCACAGCTGAACAATCATCTCGTATGACAGCTATGGACAATGCAACAAAGAATGCCGGAGAATTAATCAATAAATTAACGACATATTATAACAGAACACGTCAAGCTGTTATTACAACTGAACTTATTGAAATTATTTCCGGCGCTGCTGCTTTGGAACAAAAGAATTAAACGAAGTTTTTCAAATTCAACATCAGAACTATTAGTCTTTTCAATTATTTTCTTTTAGTAGTTTATTCACTTCAGAAAAACACACACGTATTTCTTTCTTGTCCTCTTAGTTTTTCTTTTTTTGGTTTAACAAAATAAAAAAAAAGGAATCGTCTAGACACTTTCATTCGATTTGTGGTTTTCAGATGGCCAATGAAGAAAGACAACAAGAAAATATTCAAGCGCCAGTCACACCATGGAATTTAGCGATTTATTACCGACGAATTTTTCCATCACATGTTTATTGTAAATGGTTAGCGTATGGAGAACGTAAGTAGAATGAAAAAGATCCGATGATCATTGTTGGGAAAGAGAAATATTTTCAGCTGCTGCTTGTCCGCAGTTTTCTCAACGAGAATTCAGTTTTACACTTGAAAATGATGTTTATCGTCGTTACCTTTCGTTTACTAATCATATCGAATTTGAAAAAGAATTGATTAAAATGTGTCCGGAAAAGATCGATATCGGTGCAGTTTATTCGGCCAAAGTAATTTATCTTCACGTGATTTTCTCGACTTTCATTTCGAATTTAATTTAGCCAAAAGATCATAAAATGCTTTCGACTGCACAGTTTTATCCAATCGAACGCGAGCTTGTCTTTGATATCGATATGACTGATTATGACGATGTGCGATTCTGTTGTCGGTAATGAAAAAGTTGCGAGGAAAAGAATTTCATCTACGAATTTCTCTTTCAATCAAGTGGTGCGGATATTTGTTCGAAATGCTGGACTTTAATGAGATTTGCCATGCAAATTATTGATCGTGTTTTATATGGTTTGTTTTCTCTTTCGAGAAATGCACGAAAATGAATTTCTTTTGAAGAGGATTTTGG